CTGACAATATGTCTACGAGCAATGAAGAATAGATCGTGCGCAGGACAAGTTCTCGTGTACCCAACCAGAAGGGAAACAAAACTATCAAATGCAGGTGATAATGGAATATTGTTGTATAAAATGGTAAAGTTAACAATGAAAAAACTGCAGTAATCTCCAAAAAAATCTTTAAATTGAGTTTAGCCTGCAGTTAAGATCAACAACCCATAATATATCTGGATATGGATCAAATTTAGAAAATTTAGGAAGAAACTATTTTGATAAAAGCTTATATTGCAATAAAAGATATTTTATCACCATGGGTTAAAGTAAAAGTTGTAAAATTGATATACAAATGCAGGTTATATGTACAAAACAATTTAACTTTAAATTGAGAGATGATAATGACTGCGTTTCATAGTGAAACATATGGAGATAACGAACAGTATTCAAGATCAAAAGTCCATAAAACAATACAAAATAAGAGCAGGCAAACACGGACCTCAAAACATCAGAGGTGGGATCAGGTGCCATGGAGGAGTGAGCATCCCTTGCCGACCAGTCACACCCGCCGTGTGCTTCTTGTCATCCGGAAAAATTCGTCGTCAATTCAGAGTTTTAATAATGGATTGACAATTAGTATGAGAAAGTCAGTCAGCATTTGACTCAATGAAAAATTGTATTTGCTGACAAAGTCATTTTATCGACCATAGAACTTATGAAATGATGACTTTAAACGAGACTGCTGATATTCTCAATAATTTACCTCTTTTAGAAATTGTTCATACATAGAGCATGCTCTTGCGTATCGAATTATCTGAGATATATAAACTCCGTATGCAGGTGATCATGATGAAGGTATATTGCTGCATAAATAAGGGAAGTTGACGATAGAAAAGTTAAAGTCATCACGTTTAGCATAGCACTGGTTGTTAGATCACCATTAACGTCTTTTTCCCAGAGTAAAGAAATATAAAAGAGTTCATTTTTCAACAATACTATACCTTTGCTGGATTCTTAGGCTTTATGAAAATAAAGATATAAAGCAGGTCCCAGTAAATGTTTACCAAGCTTTTTCTTAACTCCTCTCTAAAATTTTAATAGCAGAGGAGAATCATTGAAAATAGCAGTGAGAAAAACTTCAGGAGTTCTGCACATCATATTTTAAAAGTTGTGTAAATCAGCTGTGAATATTTTAAAATAAAAAAGAATAGATTATCACAAAGTTTATCTTAATCAGTAGCATAAAAAGTACGCTTTTTCAATAGTTTTTTTTTAAACTTTAAATTTAAGTTTTGACTCTTTCACACTAAGGCACCTGTTTTTTTCAAAACAGATAGACCTCGAAAATTTAATTAACTTGTCATAAGTCATTTACAAAATTATTTTGAAAAAAAAAAATTGATTGTACACACAGGTACACCAAAATTGATATTGAAAAGATGCTTGAGTTTCTGCTTGATCTGTATAGCCCCTGCGAAATGATCAAGAATAATTCTTGAACTTTTAAGAAAAGTTCATGAATTATATTCTTGAATCAACTCATGAATTGTTCATGAAGATCCCATGAAGTTAAAATTGGACACTCATGATTTCATGGATTTTATTCATGAAAACCAAGTTCAAGAATATTCAAGAATTATTTGTTGTTCATGAACAAACTTGGATTTTTTAAATGCCTGCAAAATGATTAAGAATAATTCTTGAACTTTCAAGAAAAGTTCATGAATTATATTCATGAACTTTCAAGAAAAGTTCATGAATGATATTAATAGGTTCAATGCATTTTCATGAACTATTCATGAATAATTTGTAAAAGTTATTTAGGAATGTTCATGAACTATTCATGAATGTTCTTGCTTTTAGTAAACAAAAATGTAATAAGTTATGCAAAATGAAAAAAACTGTAAAAGAAAATATTTTAATAGCATCTTCAAAGATTTCACAGAATTTTTGTTTTCCAATCATGGTAACAAAATCTTTGTTCAAGTAAACAACTCTGATAAGTGATAACGATAATAAATAAATTATGTAGTTCATTCCTAATAAATTATGAAAAATTTCAATTCAAACACGACTCTTTGCAGAATCCTTAACCTTACTTGGTCAAGAGGAGAGTGGGTTGCTTATTCAGCGTATTTCAAAGTGTATGCCTAAAATGGAATGATTTTTTATCCAAGTCTCACTGTCTGGCCGAAAAGTGTGTTCAGCAATTAGGGCATCAGCTAAATGGGCTTTCAAGGATTTTGAGCAGAGGTGGTCAAATAAAAAAATCTTATTAATTTCCCTGTGGAATTTTCAGAATTTCATCACTTGGATCCTTTGATCGATTACGATTCATATTTTCATTCCTTTCTTTTGTTTTTCTTCAAGAGCCTGGATTTTTTATATTCTTTTTTTTTTGGCAGCCAGAGTTTTTTACTCTTCTGATCTCAACTCATCAACATTATCTGTGAACTGCTTCTCTTTTCCCTACAAGAACAAAGATTTTCTGAAAATGCTCATAAATGTGAAAACTTGACTTGCATATTTGTTTCATTTAATTCTGCATCATAGGCACTGCCATATTTTAAAGCATTCCGAGAGGGAGTTTAGCCTGTTTCCCTTGCCCGCCATGTTCAAGATGTTATCAGGTTATAGGTGAACAGGATGAATGTTTCAATCTTTAATTACTAAATGTAACGTAATTTGGTTGGATCCTTACTCATAACAAAGTTTGACAAAATTTTCATTAAAAAGGACATGACTGAACTCTTGCAAATAGACAGTAACATCTTGACAAATATCTCACAGATTCAGCGATTGCCTCCATTTTTTTGTAACTCACCACTAATATCTGCAGTTATGAAGTAAATTGATCCTCTGGATATTCCTTCTTCGTATTCTGTTATTTTCTTCAAAGGTTGACAAAGAATGACTACGCTAATAATCCTCCCACTCTACCGATTCACTTTCCAACGTCTCGCGCGTTTCAAAGTTTGCGCCTTTTAAAAAGTGTCATGCAGAGCTAATTAAGAAATAGTTTCGAATTGCCAAGATTTTTGTTAAACAAAAAATAACAAACACTATCTGAATGATTTTTCACTGAAATTAATTTTTTAAAATTAATATAAGTTATATCATTTATTGAATTGGATTTTTTTTTTACATTATACCTGTACAGCCATAGTTTCGTATTCAAGTATGGTCGCCTCCATATCAGAGGACAACAAATATCTCTTGGAACCACTCTCCCTCAAACTGAGTACCCCGAGCTATGAAAGTGTATAGGAGAATAGACTACAAAATACGAATGTGGTTCATGTCATAGCTTCTTCACAACCATGCAGCCTGTGCTGTGTCATTTACACACGATGGACAGAAAAATGTGACCTTATAACAGCATCAAAATATAAAGCTTTTCGACCCAAGAATGGTACGGTACAGTACGGACAAGAGATATAATTTTTTAGTTGTCAATAAATTTATGATACGTTTTTACGAAGATTATGAAATTTTTCCTAGACTGTAAGTCTGTTTCATTTTCTTTCAACTCGTTAAAAGTTTGACAAATAGAGAAAATTCGGTCGAACAAAGTTGTGTCGTGAAAAAATGAAATAATTTAAAGCACAATTTTAATATAACTGGCCAATTTAAATGATGAAGAAACATTAGTAATTCAATATGAGAATAAAATGCTGTCAATATTGATGCAGTGTTCTTTAAATTACGTTACAAAAAAATGGAGGCAATCGCTGAATCTGTGAGATATTTGTCAAAATGTTACTGTCTATTTGTAAGAGTTCAGTTATGTCTTTTTTAATGAAAATTTTGTCAAACTGTGTTATGAGTAAGGATCCAACCAAATTACGTTACATTTAATAATTAAAGATTGAAAAATTCATCCTGTTCACCTATAACATCTTGAACATGGCGGGCAAGGGAAACAGGCTAAACTCCCGCTCGGAATGCTTTAAAATATGGCAGTGCCTATGATGCAGAATAAAATTTGCAAAAAAAAAAAAATTAAGTGTTAAGTTTTCACATTTATGAGCATTTTCAGAAAATCTTTGTTCGGGAATCCCTGTGTTCTTGTAGGGAAAAGAAAAGCAGTTCACACATAATGTTGATGAGTTGAGATCAGAAGATTAAAAAAACTCTGGCTGCCAAAAGAAAAAAAAATCCAGGATCTTGAAGAAAAACAAAAGAAAGGAATGAAAATATGAATCGTAATCGATCAAAGTATCCAAGTGATGAATTTTTTTTTACTAGTATTTGACCACCTCTTCTCAAAATCCTTGAAAGCCCTTTTAGCCGATGCCCTAATTGCTGAACACACTTTTCTGCCAGACAGTGAGACTTGGATTAAAAACCATTCCATTTTAAGCATACACTTTGAAATACGCTGAATAAGGAACCCACACCCCTCTTGACCAAGTAAGGTTAAGGATTCTGCAAAGAGTCGCGTTTCAATTAAAATTTTTCATAATTTTAATAGGAACGAACTACATAATAATACTTGAACAAAGATTTTGTAACCATGATCAGAAAACAAAAATTCTGTGAAATCTTTCAAGATGCTATTAAAATATTTTCTTTTACAGTTTTTCATTTTGCATAATTTATTACATTTTTGTTTACAAAAAGCAAGAACATTCATGAATAGTTCATGAACATTCCTAAATAACTTTTACAAATTATTCATGAATAGTTCATGAAAATGCATTGAACCTATTAATATCATTCATGAAGTTTTCTTGAAAGTTCAAGAATATAATTCATGAAGTTTTCTTGAAAGTTCAAGAATTATTCTTGATCAGTTTGCAGGCAATTAAAAAATCCAAGTTTGTTCATGAACAACAAATAATTCTTGAATATTCTTGAACTTGGTTTTCATGAATAAAATCCATGAAATCATGAGTGTCCAATTTTAACTTCATGGGATCTTCATGAACAATTCATGAGCTGATTCAAGAATATAATTCATGAACTTTTCTTCAAAGTTCAAGAATTATTCTTGATCATTTCGCAGGGGTTATAGCCTTGATATTAAATCATTTTAATTCTTTATCTGATTTCCAACAAATGAGCATACATTAATGAGTAATTATAGAAGTATGTGGTTCCCTCCTCCGGGAAAGTTTGAAATCCCTGGCAGGCATTTGAAGTAATCAGCTTCTCGATGTCGATCTACAAAAAAGTATTTATGATTATCTATAAATGCATTCATTAAAGGAATTTCAACTATATTGTTTGAAAATTATATATGAAATGTAAAAAAAAAGAAGCTTTAAAAATATTAAAATTTTATGAAAATCACTCAGTCATGTTATTTGTATTTTTCTCATCCAAGTATTTTGTTGAACTCAATGCTAGAAAGATGACAAACATCATTCAGGTTGGTTTGACATTATAGTAGGATTTTCATACAAGTTTTTCATCATACATTGTTGCAAAATTTTACAAAATTGGAGATATCACTCAGTGGAAATTATAATCAATTATATGATGTTAGTCCTATACATAATCAGGAAAACGTGCCAGTATTTATAAAAGTAATTGCATTCTAAGGCGTATAATTACCTCACATCAGAGGGAATCCAGTTGTTCAACCAATCATTTTATAGTTCATGTGTTACTTAGATTTAAAGAGAAAGGGAAAAACTGTAATTTAAAAAAGGCAAACCTTGTACATTTCTCTCCTGTATAACCTGGTTTACACTGGCACTGCCCAGCAGCATCACACTGAAGAGTATCAGAACCTGAAATAATTGATTAAAACTAAATGTCATTTTTGATTCACTTATGTCAATATATCATGTAAGCTTACACAGTATTGTTTTCCACATTCACTTCTCTAAGACCGATCTTTTCATATTTTTCCATACTTCTTTTTTTTTTTTTTTTTTTTAGAATTTTGCAACTAATTTCAAATGCATATAACTTGTCAATACATATGTTGGCAATCAGACGATAGTTTAATTGGATGATTATTTAAGCTACTTCAAATAATAACATAATAATTTGTCTATTATGACATTTATATGTAAAACGACTTTGAATTACACATTGTCAAATGAAAAACGTCCCTTTTTAGTACATGTAGCCTATATACAACCATCCTACAAATTTCAGAAACGAACGTACCAACTGGATTACAATCACACGGTGTGCACCTTCCATCTGATGACCTTAGATAGTGGTTGTCCTTGCACCTCTCACATTGAGGACCGTCCGTGTTGTCCCGACAGTCGACACAACGACCTCCTCTCCCTGTTCTCTGGTAAAGATCCTGATCAAAAGAGCAGCTGTCCGCTTTATTGTTGCACTCACAACCTAATACAAATACCCATTCCATCAATAAAGCTTTTGGCTTTCGTGTTGAGTGTTAGTTTAAACAATTAAATGCAAAGGAAAACTAAGAAAAGAGGATTTCTTTCCAAATTCCGATTTTGAAAGACTCCTCAAAATCATATATTTCATGCATAAATAAATTCAAAGGAAAACGTCGAGGTAATTGTCTTTCTGAATACTTACGCTGGCACTCATTGGCGCTGCTAGATTCATCATTTTAAAAAAAATTAATATAGACTAGTGGTTAAAATATTTTGACATTTTATTCAACAATGATAGATAAAACAAAATTAACGTGATTAGGGTTTTTCCAAACTCTGACCAAATATAACTCAAAATAAAAAAGAAGACACATCACTCACACCAAGTTAATAATTATGCGAATAAAATGAATAATGCAAAATAAAATTCAAGCTTATTGAAGATTATTTTGACCCATCATATACTAGTACAATGTATTGTTTATTATCTCTTATTTCACGCTACAGCTCACAATGTCATCCTTTATATAGAACCTAATTTAAATGTCTCCGCCCATTTGCATGTAATAGAGAAACCGCACTCTGTTCGAAAGAAAATGTTCCGGAATTTGTATGTGCGGTAGGTGTTGAAAATTGGCTTATATTTCTTAATACTTAAAGTCATTAATGATGATTCTACAACATTTCAATTAGAAATACTATGTTATACTCCATGAATATAAAAATAATACCATATCCTCAAGTATATTCTGTAAAATAAGAGCGAGAAAGGGACCACGCTACTATACTTAAGTGGAATACATATGACGTGAAAAAAATATAATAGAACTCCACGAACTTTCCGAACAACACTCGTAAAAACACCAGTAATAAATATATTAAATAACACTGAGGTTATAGAGTGATAGTAGTTCCTTTCTGGTCCGTGTAACACTTAATTATTTTGCATTTTAGAATGTTAATACGTTAGTTATAATTTTAAAAACTCAAACTGATTTGGTATATTGAATTTTAATATTTTACTTCAAAAATCTAAAATTTCAATTTTCCAAACAGGTTTAACATTTTGAGTTTTAAGATTTTTATCTTAAATATTCAAAATTCAAATTTCCAAAAACACATTTTGTACTTTAAACTTTTCAGTCTTTAATCTACCGTTTGTTCAGAAAGTTTACGCTTAACAATCTAAAATTCGATAACGTTTTCGTCTTTTGATTATTTAAAATTTACTTCAAACTTCCAACTTTCAAACGCTTTAGATTTTTAGAAATTTAGAATTTTGATTTAAAAACTTAACTTTTGAATAACCAAAACACGTTTGTACAGTTTGAGTTTTTAGAAGTTTACTTCAAATATCCGAAATATGAAATTCTATACCTGGTTTAAATTTTGGATATTTAAAGTAAAATTCTAAAAACTCAAAGAGTTAAGTTATTAGAAATTTGAACATTTGAACCAAAATTCCAAATTTCTAAAAATCTCGAACGTTTCAAAGTTGGATTTTAGAAGTTTGAAGCTAATTTCAAATCATAGGCGTCGGAACCGGGGGGGGGGGGCTAGGGGGGCTTTGCCCCCCCCACTTTTTTCCAAATATATACTTAGTTTAGACATTGAACATTGTTTCGTGGGTTTAGCTCCACCCCCCCCCCCCCCACTTTCCACAGATACGTCTTAGTATAGGTAAAAAATGGCGAAAGTCGTGGCGTTTGGAAGAAATTTTTTGGAATTGGAGTTCGAAGCTACCCCCCCCCCCCCCCCCCCCCCCACCCACGAAATAGGATTTTCGTGTTTGGGAAATAGACATTTCCTTTTTTTTTTTCCTTTTTTTTTTTTTGCTTGTCAGGTTTTTTTTTGGAGGTACAAAAAAAATTTTCTTTACACTAAGCCCCCCCCCCCCACTTTCAATTTGCTTCCGACGCCAATGCAAATAATCGAAAGATGAAAAATATTACCAAACTTTAGATTGTTAAGTGTAAATTTTCTGAACAAACGTTAGACCAAAAACTCAAACGTTTAAATTCCATTAATCGTTTTTGGTAATTTGAATTTTGAAAATTTAAGGTAAAATTCTAAAATATCAAAATTCTAAAACGTATTTCGAAATTTGAAAATTTAGATTTTTGAACTAAAATATTAAATTTCATTATACCAAATCAGTTTGAGTTTTTGAAAGTTAGATATTTGAACTAATATATTAACATTCTAAAACTCTAAATCGTTTTAGAAATTTGAATTGTTAAGTGTTTCACGGACCCTTTCTCAATAACCTGTGCAACAGGTATTCTGACGTCCACGTAGAAACGAAAGAGGAAGTAAATTAAGGGTATTTCCACAATACTAATAATAATAGTGAACGTAATGCATTTGGAATAAAAGGACCTTCTTTGGAAATGTTCAGTCAGAAAAAAATAACGAAGATGGATTGGTTTTATCTATAACGGTAATGATTTTTAATATTCAGTTGTATCTATGAATACATCTGTTTAGAGCTTTTCAGTTCCTCACAGCGGAAAAGGTGGGATTTAACTAGGTACACTACATATGTATAAAAAACGAAATGAGAAACAAGAAGAGGAACAATGGAATGGAATGTCTGATTTAGCATAGAATTATTTTCAAATTAATACCTTATGACCATACATTTCAACAAAGGGAGACGGCTTTAATTTTTGATTTCATTCAGTTTGATAGCAATTGCAGAGTGAAATGAAACTCCGCACTACTATCTGACAGGCACAAGCACAAAATTTTGACAGATTTAATTAATACTACTATACTATTACCTGAAAGAAATGTTTTCTGTGACATTGTTTGAAATAATAATTTGGTCATGAAATGATACAAGGATACTAATAAAATTTTAATTAAATGATACCTTCAATTGATAAATTATTTAATTTAGTTCCGCAGGGTACAATATATTCTTACTTCTCTCTACAGTGATCTAGTTGTTCGTCCGTCTTTACATCCATCCGTCTGTCTGTTCGTCCGTTCGTATGTCTGTTTATTACGTATTTGGGTACCCAACTCTTACCTGAAATTCGTCTTATCCACTGAATATAAGTAAAGGACACTTTTAGGGAATCCTTGTTAATTTTTGATCTGTCATATAGACTGGTTTCCCATAGAAAAAAATGGACACGTGCCAGTCTTTCTGTAACATTAAAGTTTATCAATCTCACCCCTGCGAAATGATCAAGAATAATTCTTGAACTTTTAAGAAAAGTTCAGAATTATACTCTGAATCAGCTCATGAATTGTTCATGAAGATCCCATAAAGTTAAAATTGGACACTCATTATTTCATGGAATCATTTATTAATGAAAACCAAGTTCAAGAATATTCAAGAACTATTTGTTGTTCATGAAAAAACTTGGATTTTTTAAATGCCTGTAAAATGATCAAGAATAATTCTTGAACTTTCAAGAAAAGTTCATGAATTATATTCTTGAACTTTCAAGAAAAGTTCATGAATGATATTGATAGGTTCAATGCATTTTCATGAACTGTTCATGAATAATTTGTAGAAGTTATTTAGGAATGTTCATGAACTATTCATGAATGTTCTTGCTTTTTGTAAACAAAAATATAATAAGTTATGCAAAATGAAAAACTGTAAAAGTAAATATTTTAATAGCATCTCGAAAGATTTCACATAATTTTTGTTTTCCAATCATCATGATCATGGTAACAAAATCTTTGTTTAAGTAAACAACTCTGATAAGTGATAACGATATCAATAAATTACGTAGTTCATTCCTAGTAGAATTATGAAAAATTTCAATTCAAACGCGACTCTTTGCAGAATCCTTAATCTTACTTGGTCAAGAGGAGAGTCAGGGTTCCTTATATAGCGTATTTCAAAGTATATGTCTAAAATGGAATGATTTTTAATCTAAGTCTCACTGTCTGGCAGAAAAGTGTGTTCAGCAATTAGGGCATCATCTAAAAGGGCTTTCAAGGATTTTGAGCAGAGGTGGTCAAATAAAAAAAATCTTATTGGCTTTCCCTGTGGAATTTTCAGAATTTCATCACTTGGTTCCTTTAATCTATTACGATTCATATTTTCATTCCTTTCTTTTGTTTTTCTTCAAGAGCCTGGATTTTTTTGTTGGCAGCAAGAGTTTTTTATTCTTCTGATCTCAACTGTTCAACATTATCTGTGAACTACTTCTCTTTTCCCTACAAGAACAATTATTTTCTGAAAATGCTCATAAATGTGAAAATTTAAGACTTAATTGGTTTTTTTTTGTATATTTGTTTCATTTAATTTTGCATCATAGGCACTGCCATATTTTAAAGCATTCCGAGCGGGAGTTTAGCCTGTTTCCCTTGCCCGCCATGTTCAAGATGTTATAGGTGAACAGGATGAATGTTTCAATCTTTAATTATTAAATGTAACGTAATTTGGTTGGATCCTTAGTCATAACAAAGTTTGACAAAATTTTCATTAGAAAGGACATAACTTAACTCTTACAAATAGACAGTAACATCTTGACAAATATCTCACAGATCATGCAGATTCAGCGATTGCCTCCATTTTTTTGGTAACTCACCACTAATATCTGCAGTTATGAAGTAAATTGATCCTCTGGATATTCTTTCTTCGTATTCTGTTATTTTCTTCAAAGGTTGACAAAGAATGACTACGCTAATAATCCTCCCACTCTACTGATTCACTTTCCAACGTCTCGCGCGTTTCAAAATTTGCGCCTTTTAAAAAGTGTCATGCAGAGCTAATTAAGAAATAGTTTCGAATTGCCAAGGTTTTTGTTAAACAAAAAATAACAAACACTATCTAAATGATCTTTCACTAAAATTATTTTTTTAAATAAAAAAATAAGTTATATCCTTTATTGAATTGGATTTTTTTTTTTACATTTTACCTGTAGAGCAATAGTTTAGTATTCAACAGGTCCAGTCCAAAGACTATTTCTACCTACGTAGGTATTAATAGCTACGTAGGTATTTAAAGCTACCAAAAGTAGCTATTTTTACCTACTTTCTGCTTTACTTGCATTTTGTAGCCAAATACAGGAACGGCGCAACATGGTGAGCACACAATTTCTTAAAACAGTCACAATAATGATGAATATGACAAAAATTTGGCAAAAAAATGAAAACTTCGTATATTATCAATTTTGCATAGAAACTAATGTAAAAATGCCGATTTAGGAAGTAATCATTTTTTGGCAAAATTTTTGTCGTATTCATCATTAGTGTGACCA